TGCAAAAATTGGCCTTAAAATACATAAGGGGAAAACAAAGTATATGACAAACTTAGATGACAACCATCAAATCAAATTAGAAAATGAAACTATTGAGGGAGTGAACAATTACAAACACCTCAGACAAACAACCTACATGAAAAATACAACAAAAGAGGAAATAAGTATGAAAATAAGAGCTGGTTGGAGCTGCTTTGGGAATTACCAAGAGATCTTTCATGATGAAAAACTACCAATAACCTTTTAAAGTAGAGTATCAACCAATGTGTTTTACCAACATTGACATATGGATGTCAACTTGGACACTCACTAAACAGCTTAACTCAAGATTGTAGACAACACAAGGAGCAATGGAAAGAAAGATGCTAAAGATCAAGCTCCAGGATAAAAGTCTGTGCTCAGAGATCAAAAGAAATACTGGGGTAGAATCAAAATGGAAATGGGCCAGACACATCGCTCGATTAAAAGACAACAGATGAATGAAAAGAATCACAGAATGGCAGAATGTAGACCATACAGAAGATCCTATGATGATATCATACAGAAAGAGAGCCTACACAGCAGAGGAAAGCAGCATATAGACTGACTTGGACATCTTTGGCGGAGGGCACTCCCTTGGAAGTGGGTGGACACAGCCTAGAATGAATGAATTCATTTCAAGGGTGCTAAGAAAGGAAATAGGGCTAAAAGCTTGGAAAATGATGCATTTAGAGGCAAAGATGGGCTTGGGTTTAGGTTAAGCAAGTGGTTCCAAGCACTTGCTAGTGATGAGGGGGAGCAGGTAAGGGAAACAGATGGGATCACAAAAGATGATAGTGTAAAGGATAGGGAAGTTATAGTTGTAGATGATTCTCTAGTTAGGCATGTAGATAGAGTAGTATGTAGAGTAAATAGGAGCAAAAGAATATGCTTATGTTATTCAGGAACAGGGTACAGGATATAACTGAGAGAACCAGAATGACAGTTAAGGGTGCTAGTAGCAATGCTTCATGGTACTGTTGGAGCTAATGATGTAAGGAAAATGGATCTGAGGAGCTTATTGATAAGTATAAAACACTGATAAGGGAATTTAAGGAAGAGGGGTCATAGCTTGATTTTGTTTGGGATATTGCAGAGAATAAATTGTGGAGATGAGATACTAAATAGGTCACTAGGATTGAATGCCAGGCATAGATCAATATGTAGGGATGAGTAAATAGGCTGGTTGGATTTGTGGGATAATTTTAATGGGAATGGATGATTTACACTTAAACAAGGTAGGAGCTGGCATGTTAGCAAGTTCTATTAACTCAGCTGTAGTGGTAGATTTAAACTAGGGCTAGACAGAGGTGAGAGCTATGATATTAGTAAAATAGGAAATATAATTGACAAGAAAACAAGTACAAAAGGCATAAAACATGAGAGTATTTTAAAATCTATGATTAATTGCTACTATTGTAATGCTGAGAGTATTAGAAGTAAAACTTATGAGTTCAAAGCAGTTGTAGAAACTGAGGATTTTCATAATATGGATATCACTGAGACTTGGATGGATTTAAACAATTTTGATGAGAGAAATGTTTTTTAAATACCAGGCTACAGATTATTTACTAGAGATAGAGGACTGAAAAAAAGGGGAGGAGTAGCTTTATATATGTGAGGAGTGAATTGCATTCTGTTGTATTAGAGAATATTAAAGAAAATAGCAATGATGTTGAGTCAGTTTAGGTTAGTGTTAGTGGATATAAAGGGAAAAGTCTTGTTATTGGGATTTGTTATAGACCACCAGGTCAGAATGGTAGCTGAAAAAAACGTTGTTATTAGGGGAGATTTTAATTTCAGGGGTAATGATTGAGAAAATTTGAGTCTGACAGTGAGGGGGAAAAGTTTTTGGAAATTGTTCAGGATACTTTTATACACCAACTGGTGATGGAACCTACAAGAGAGAAAGCTATATTAGATTTAATATTAGCATCCAATGTGAATATGATAGACAGAGTTGTGGTTGGGGAGCATTTAAGTACCAGTGACCATTACACTGTTAGGTGTGGGATTTTACTACATGTAGAAATGTAGAAGAATAGTACCACAATTCCAAATTTAGTATAATAAAATATAATAAAATAAATTATAGTGGAATTCTATGGTATTGATGTGGTAATTTATGATTTTTTGGTTATTCAAATGTATATATAAAACCTTAAAAAAAAAATTTAGTTTCATATCCTCTACATGCAAAATTTT